GGGGGGGGGGAAGGGGATCACGGTCTCAGGAACGGCTGGGGGCTCCTCTGGCCCTCAAAAGCCCTGGCCCAGCCATGCGACCTCAGCAGGCTGCCTGGTGGGCACTTGGCCAAGACCAAAGGGAAAGTTGAAGGGACATTGAAAAGCAAGGTGGTGGTGGGGGGAGGAAGAAAGCTGTCTTATAAGGAATGGGCCCTGGTATGGGGTTGTGGCCCAGAGCTCAGGACAGCCAAGCTAGGATGTCTGTGTAAGCACAGCGGCAAGCCAACATCCTGGCACCAGATTAGTGGCATGTTTGATTAGACTCTTACAAATGCTCCCACCATCCAGGCGCCCACCCCAGTGACAAGCAGGAGTCTCCAGCTAAGGCACAGGGCCTCTGCAGGCCTGAAGGCACAGAGCTTCTGCATGAGCCAGGCATGATGCTGGAAGGAAGCACTGGGCAGGTCTCCAGTGGGGCTCAAAGGGCAAGAGGAGAGAGGCCAAAGGGCACTAGCACAGTTGAGCAGTGGACGTGGTTATTCCACGCAGGGTATGGCACTGGTGCTCGGAGCAGGGAGTGCTCAGCAGTAGCTCATAACAAAGCCCTCTGGGCAGGGCACGGCCAGGACAGACCCCCACCCCGCCTGGGGCCAGTTGTCCCCTGGAGTAGTGCTGCTGGGGGCGGGGGGGGGAGGTGGAGCCGGGTAGAGGAAACCTGAGGAAGGCTGGGACCCTACTCACCTGCCCACGCTCCTCAGCTTCTAGTTGAGCCCAGTCCTGAGCTGTAGCTGGTCACAGGCAGAGGTCAACTGCAGATTTTTTCTGAATACCCCCTACACACAGACACACGTGCACATGCACCATTTCTAAATAGCCCCTGCACGCCGCACTTCCAGCCCTACTTGGAAACTGCCCCCATAACTGAGCTGAGCTGAAGCCATGTGGCAGGCCAAGGCACCCGCCTCCTGCTGTGTGCATTTGCCACGGCCCCACTGGACTTCGCTCTTGTTGGGGGTGCAGTTAGCAGGGCAGCAACCGAGCATATTCACAGCTGGGGCTGGAAGCCAGAGCTGCGGTGGGCTTGGGGCTGAGCTGCCGAGGGGAGGGAAGCTGCGGTGCCCACGTCCAAGACTTTAGCTGCAGTAAGCAGCTCCTGCCCTCGCCCTGGCGGTGCAGAGCATAGGGGGAGCAGGGCAGTCACTCCAGAGCCCACGAGGTGCAGCCTGCTCCCACCATCCCAAGGCAGCATGGGCCCAAGCAGCCTCTACCCCAACCTTCCCGTGCGTTCTAGTCCCTGCAGCTCCTGCCCTGCCACCCGGGGGGGATGTAACCCAGCTCAAACACACCGCCAGGCAGGGCCTGAGCATGGGGGGACCACCCTCAGTTACTAATCAGCAGGTGGGAGTGCTGCTGGCAGCACTGCCCTCCCTGGCTCTTGGACACTGCAGCTGTGTTGCTGCCCAAGCCCACATTCATTCCTTGAAGTCACAATTTAGAGGTTAAAACAGGTGTAAACAGCCACCCAGCTATGCTGCCAGGGTTTGTGCTGGTTGAGAGCCCCCGGCAAGTCTCAGGCCTAGTCCACACTGCAGCCTCCTGCCAACACCACACCAGTGTCCCTCATCCCCCCTTACCATCCCCATCTGCTCCTGCACTGGCTGCAGATTCACTGCATTGCAGGGCAGGGGGAGGTGACGCCACGGCCACGCAGCAGCCGGCTGGTAGACAGGCCTATGCTTCCTGGCTGCATTGGAGGCCAGGCCCTGCAGCACAGCCGGGAAGGGCATACAGGGCCTTCAGCAGTTGCTGCCTCGCTCTTCTGGGCTGCAGGCCTGCCCCGTGGACAGCAGCACTAGAGGGGGCAGCGCGGGGGAGAGGAGCTAGTCCCCGTGGCTGAGGATGGCCTGGCCGGCAGTAAGTAGATCACAGGCTAGGTTGCACCAGCAGGCTTCAGCCACGTGCAATGTCTGACCTCATTTCCCAAGCAAAACTGCCTTAAACCCTCTCTGGAAATGCACTCCCAGGCCCTGCCGGCATCCAGGCCGAGTGGAGACAGGTGGCGCCTAGGCCTGCCCTCCTCCCGGTGGATCTTCAGACACAGAGATCAGAGGCTCAAGAGGAAACAAAAGGGAAGGAGCCAAGGGAGTCTACCCACATTTCTCTTCTGAATATCCCTCCCCGTCACGCATCACATTGGTCCCTGGGGGGGGCAGCACGACACCAGGAGACATCTGTATGGAAATGAGTCCAAATATAAAGAGATTGTACTTGTGTAGCTCCAAAGCAGGACGTTTGTTCCGTTGCGAGTTTAGTTACTGCTTTAAAACAGTGTACAGGACTGGCATTTACATTTCTCTGATGCTTCCTTGAAGCCATAGAAATTAGGGGCTTTTTTAAAAAAAATAAAATAAATCCCAAACCCGGCTCCCATGGTTGTGCGCAGCAGGGAGGGGGTGGGATAGGCATGGGTCTCTCCTCTCTAAGGGGGCAGCAGAGCAAGTGCCCATTTCAGGACAGCCTGGTTCAGCAGTGGGACATTGTTCCTAGGGGAACGTGCATGGTGGCCCGTGGCCGTGGCAAGGGCTAGTTTAGCAAGCCTGCCACCAGCACCCCACGCTGCCTCTTCTGTTTGAAGGTAGCCACACATCCTGCATTTCCCCACCACCTCAAAGCAGGGCCAGCAAGCAGGTGCAGTGGTCCCAGCTGAACAGCAAAGGCAAGTGAGCTGCATACCTGCCACAGAGGCACCTACCTCCTCTGCCTCGCAGGTGGATTCACGGGATAATACCCGAGAAGGTAGCAGGACAGGGAATGGGGTCTGGCTTGGCTTGGCTTGGCAAGCTACAAAGAGCTCTGCTGCTTAGGGACAGCAACACCTCGCACTAGGAACAGCACTCCCAATGCAGGTCAAGCATGGGGACAAGCTGCTCCGGCCAAGAGCATTGCTCAGCAGGGATTCAGTTAGCATCTCCAACCGCTTTCAGCAGATGCCCTATCCTAGGCCCCACTCCATACTCTTTGGCATTGTCTATGGATAAGGGAGTTGTACAGCTGCAGCAATGGCAACAACAAAATCCCCCTTCACTACAGGATGCCCATAGCAGAGCCCTTCAGTAGCACTGTCTACCTGCCTGCACTGCTCACTGTCTAGTTGGAGGCACCCCCAGACTCTCCCTGCACAACCCCTTGAGCCACAGAATCGCACATCAGGGGCTGGCAGAGAAGAGCTTGCTGCCTGAGCCTAGAGGCAGATGACAGACTAGCCCCGGGAACACAGGAGCATCGTGCCCATCTGACAACAAATTTTGACCACAAGTTGAGCAGCCCCCCCCAGGGAACTCCCCATCTGTGGGACAGCCCAGGCCCCTAGGAGGATCAAACGGCTTGCAGCAGCTCTTCTTCATTTGCAGCAGCGCAGGGCTCTAGCATTCGCTGCCCTCGGCTACCTCCTGTTCTGACACCACGTTCACCTCCTGAGCACTAAGGGCAGATATGGAGTTCATCTGAAAGTTTTAGGATACAGAGCAGGTGTCCAGCCCCAGCATTTGGTGCTTTCTCCAACTTTGCCCCATAAGAGAGACAAGTCCCACTGCTCTGAGCAAAGGCATGGAGCACAACTGGCAGCAGGAGGGCCATGGCAGACACAGTGGCCTCTGGCCGAGCCTTGGCCGTTAGCAAAGCAGGGTCAGGCAGGATGTGGCAGCTGCCAGCTCAGAGCGCGCTGACCGGTATCTGCACAGTGCAGTCAGTGGAGGCAGAGGTGCCGGCTTCAAAGTCTCCAGCAGGACTGAGCAGCAGCAGCAAAGGACACAAATGCTTTGAGACATGTCACTGGACCCCGCTCTGACAAAAGCAGCCTCGGGTCCCATCGGTGGCTCTGCAGCAAGGGAGTCAGAGGTTACTGTCCAAGCAAGGCAGCTGCAGTGGTGCTTGGTCCAAGCTCGGTGGCTGGCACATGTACATGCTTTAAGAGGTCTTCTTTATTCTAGTTCCATTCAGAAGGCCGCCTCCAGCAGGGCTTAGCAGCACATTAAGCACAGGCCCTGAAGCTGCTTGGAACATGATGGTAATAGCATTCGTGACAAAAAAAAACAGTGAATATCCTTATAGTGGCCTCATGTAAATGGGCTGGCATGGCTGTGCGGGATATCCCTACACAGCACTTGCTCAATCGCAAGCCCATGCTGGAAGCTGTGGAACAGACTTTATTTGAAGGCTGGTTCTCAGTCAAAAGGAGGTGCTTCTGCTCTTACTTTCAATTTAAAAAAGAAAAAAAAAAAAAATCAGGGTCCATTGTCAGCTGGGTACTTTCCTAGCCAGCAGCACTTTTCAGCAACTTCAGCTGACTCAGAGCAGGAGGAGCGGAGTTCCTTGTTAAGGAGCACTTTGCTTTCCAAGAGATGGTTGAACAGTCCCGTCAGACTGGCCTCTCAGGAGTTCATCCGCTGCCTTGTTTATTCAAGAGGAAGCAGCTCAAGTTTGTTATTCT